GGTGGGCGTCCCGCGCAGCGCGTGGCCCAGCTGTCCACCCTGCTTCTGGCTCCTGCAGGGCCCCTGCAGCGTCCTCCGACTCCTAGACGGGGCTCCGGGAGCCCCGACCGGCCTGGGCCCCCCCGCGGCCACGCGTCCCGCAGCGGGCCCCTGCCGGCCTGCTTGCCTTCGCTGTCCGGAGCTTCGGCTTTGCTTTCATTTCCCTTTCCGTTGGGGTGGAGTCGCCAGAGTCGTCTCTAAGACTGATAACGTGGAACAAGGTTTTGTCTGTGTGTTTTATGGCTCGAGTCTTACTGTCAAGTCTTCCGCCCGTCTGAGTTTATTTTGTGTCTAGAGCTCGGGAGTGACCCAGTCTCACTCATTTCCGCGTGCCCATTCTGTTTTCCCCACACCGTTTGCCGAAGGAGTTTCTCTGTTGTATGGTCATGACAACTTCGTCTTAGATTGAGTGTTGGGGGGCTGTTTCTGAACTCTGATTCTGCCCCACTGAGTCACGTGTCTATTTTTATTGCAGTGCCTACCCTTCCAATCACTGTCGCTTTGTAATATTGCTTGAAGTTGGGTCACATGATACCTGTTTGTCCTCTCAAGATTACTTTCGCTATTTATGGTTCCATATAAATTTTATTATTTTTCTACTTCCTTAAAAGATGTGATAAGGTTTTTAATAAGGATTGCATTGATTCTGTTATTGCTTTAGATCACAGGGCCACTTTAACTGTTAATTGTCCCCATCCATGGATGTGGAATTTCTTTCCATCTCTTTGTGTCTTCTTTTCTAACAACATCACACATAGTTTTTGTCGTCCAGGTTTTTCACCTTTGTCAAATTTATTCAGACGCTTCAATTCTTAAATTCTTTGATGGACTTTAATTTTCTTTTTCCTCTAGCTCATTTACTTAGAAAAGTGCGACAGATCATTGTCTATTGAATTTGTGACCTGCCACTTTCCTGTGTTCATTTATTGTTTCTAATCATTTTTTAGGGTTTTCAGTGTATGCTGTGTCATCTGCAAAGAGTAATAGTTTCTTTTCCAGTTCCGATTCCTTTTATTTTTTGTTATTCTCTAATTGCTCTAAGAGCTTTCTTTTTTTTTTTTTT